AGCTTAGCCTCTTATCAGGCAAGCCAGATGATACAGAAAGATACTGTTTTTCTACCATATGTGCCTTGAGACACAGGCATGCTAGGCTAAATTAAAAACAGCTTTAGTACTATCTAGCCTCTTCTTGACTTTTGTTAGTATAAGCCAGACATTTGTCACAGTTAATGATTTGCTTATAGGTATTATCTGCATAAGCTATTGTCTCTCTCACTCCACCCTCCTGCAATCCTGTCTACATGAGGTATGAGAATAAGTTTACATGAAGAAAGAGCCCTTTAGCACACAGCCTGCTCAGCTCAGAAATTATGTTGAGCTTATTTTTTGCCATTAAAAAATATTTCTGTGCTGTGTAGATTATCTTTACTTAAATATACAGCATACTGTTGAGTCAGATGGCACACTTGGCCTCTTTTATATCAAGTTCTTCCATCTAACATGTACAAACAGGATACATGATGAGAGTTCATGTGTAAAAATAACAACAAAATCTGCAAGAGGATTCTAAAGAGGATTATTAGGAAGGGATCAAACAATAATCTTCAAAGTACAAAGTAGACCAAAACCAAAGAGAATACTCAGTCTCCATTTCTGTTGACTGCAAAATATACTATTAGTCTATTGTTTGCAATTTTAATCTCAATTCGACAACTCCTCTTGTATACGAATTTAAATTCAAAAAATGAAAAATACTAATAATGTTTAGAATTTTAAAAGCACTTCTCTTCAGTATGGGAATTTATTAAAGAATAAACAACTGTGTATCCTTGTTACTAATATTTAATTTAATGAACAAAAAGGTAATTAATAGTTGAAATACTACAGGAAGTATCCCAAGTTTTAAAAGTTGGTTAAGTCTTAACTAGGATGAACTCAACTCCATAGCATGTCCTTTAACAAATATGGCATTCACCAAATAAATTAAACACTTAACTGGTTCTAATTTTAAGATTAAATGAAAGAAAGAAAGGGAATAAATGACAAGTTAATATAATGAGGCAAAAGAGGACCTAGGAGAAAACTGAAACAGTGATGGGTTGAAGAGCTGGAGCAGAGTGAAAAGAAGTTTTCTTTTCTCCACTTTCTCCTCATTCTGCAAGTTCATGTGCCAATGGATAAAACAGCTCTGTAAATTTAGTGGCTAGCTTTACACATTTTTTCTTGGTCTTCCTCCTCCAGTGGTCTTTGTTGTGCTTGTTCCCTTTCCAGTCTGATCCTAATGCAAGCTATTTTAGGCCAAGAGAGCCACAAGCCTCCAGTTTCTTTCCTTCCATATCTGCACACATGAGAAGGTGGTTACAAATATATAGAGCATGCGTGAAAGCATGTATCTATGAAGCTGCCTTGGATTGCCATCCAAAACACATTGCAACGAAATCTTCTGTGTGTCTGTTAAAATGGGATTTCAATGAAGCTTATTCCCAAAGAAACAGATGTGGGATTGCAGCTTCGGTAGCCAAAGGATTTACATTGGAATGTTGTTTCACTCTAAAGCATGCATGCTTAAGAAAGAAGTACAAAAATTGTGTTCTTGCCCTCTTCAACAAATGCCTAGCCGTTACCATGTACTGCTGCTGAAAAGCCTTTGGCTGAGAGTATCAATCTCTCTGCCTGCTTTGAATAAACTGCTGCTGGTTGGCAATCTGCATGGAAACCACATAACTTTTTAAACTGAAAATTGCAGTGTATACTCTCCAAAGCAACAAATGGGTATATACACCCATTCGGATGGGGCGTGGGAGAATCCAAACCAAAATGAGACTTTAGAGAAATAGAAAAGCTAGCCCATTCTCTGGATGTCTTGTGAACAGTCCCTCTACACTGTAGCTACTACTCATTTAGGGGCGAATCTGTAAACCTAAACACACGAACTTGAAAGTAAACTCCAATGAAATTAATAGTCTTGTTGCAAGCAAAAATGTTAAAATATTAAAGTGGCAATGCACAGACTGTTATTGTTGTTTCCAATTTATGGTGACCCTAAAGCAACCCTGTCACAAGGGGTTTGCAGCAAGATTTGTTCAGAGGATCTTTTACTTTTGTCTTCCTCTGAGGGCAAGAGAGCAGTGACTGGTTTCCTTGGTCTTAGAGTCATAGTCCAGCGCTCAAACCACTACCCCACGCTGGCTCTTCGTCACCCATTCTCAAAAGATAGGGATTATAATAGAGCTGGGGTGAAGGTTGTGTGTTTGACAGCAATAGCTGCTCTAACTCCTTTGCACACAGGCACACACAAAACCTTGCCTTTTGCTTTCAGCTGAAGAGAGCATTTGTCAGAGGAGGAGGTGGCTGTAACTCCTACACACTGTGCCTGGCAGTGCTGCATCTCTTTCTGCTAACTGGAGAAGAAAGAGGGAAAACACTGCAGCAGCGGTAGATGCCCAAAAGGTAAAATTATTATGAAGTATTTATACCCCGCTCTTCAGCCAAAGGCTATCGGAAATGAAAGGAGGTCACGTACCTGCAAGAGCGGTATGGGGAAGCAGAGCAGTGCACATCAATCTGGGGTGTTTTGAGAACCAGCAAGAGATTTTCCTTCTCAGTATTAATTCTCATTCCATGTAGACCACTGGGAGAGGTCTCTGCTTTCCCGTGTTGGCTGCAGACAAGAGATGGGATGGGCATCGGATCGGTCTTCCTACACAGAAGTACGATACCTTAAAGCAGGGGTAGGCAACCTTTCTGAGCCAGGGGCCGGGTTGCTGTCCCTCAGACAAAAAAGCAACCCCCCCCCCAAAAAAAAATCAAATTAAAAAAATCAAATAAAAATAAATATGCATGCACACTCTCTCAGCCCCAGAAAAGCCCTGGCAAAACCCCTGTGGAGATTTTGCCAAGAAAACCCCAAGAACAAGTAATAACAACAATAATCAATATCATCATGGCAGCGGCGGCGGCAGGACCAGCCTGGGGCTGGTCCAAAGGCCTGGGGGGGGCGCATCTGGCCCCCGGGCCTTAGGTTGCCTACCCCTGCCTTAAAGAAAGAGGCAAGGCTTTGTGTTTAAAACTCAGAATCTATCCATTGGCACAGACAATAGCAAAGCCAACTGGGTTGCCTGATCCAATGTACTTTTTCAGACAAGATGCAAGTTCAGTTTAGAATGGAAATAATTTTCAACCAGGAAGGCAAAGCTAAATACTTAATAGTGCCTAATCTATATCCCAAAGCAGAGAAGTGCTGCCTGTTCCCACCTTAATAATCCCAGTTTTTGAATTTTTTGGCAAAAACACGCCCCAGCTCCCAACACCGTTGATTCCTCCAGTTTTACAAAAACAAAACTGTGTTGTAAAAATTCATAGCAATAGTTGCATGTTGTACTCTGCTCAAGCCTTGAGGAGAGGTGGGAAATGAATTAAAAAAAATTGTTGTTGTTGATATTATTACATGGGATGGGGACCAGCACCAATGAAGTCCATTTGCTCTCAATGGGGGCACTTATACTTGGCTCTTAAAGCTTTAATGAATAGGCTGCCCAGCCACCCACTAGGGTTACCAAGTGTCCATTATTATAAGGGATGTTCCATTTTTCAGGTTGTTCAAAAAGCTCATCACTTCTTTGAAAAGATGCCCCCTATTTGAGAGTTGAAAAACTTTCCCTTTTATATTGAAAAATCAAGACGTCAAAACAAAAAACCTATGTGTATGGGCCCATCATAAGAGGAGAACCCGCATGGCGTAGTGGTTTAAGCGTTGGATTATGACTCTGGAGACCAGGGGTCAATTCCCATCTCGAAGCCCTGTTTGGCCACAATCCCATTGGGTGACTTGGGCAAATCACACTCTCTCAGCCTCAAAGGATGGCAATGGCAAAGGCAAAGCTCCTTTGAAGAAACTTGCCCAAAAAAAAAACAACCCATAATGGAGTCCCCATAAATTGGAAATGAATTGCAGGCACATAACAACAAAACCTTCATGAAGACAGAAATGTGTGCATCGCTGAATCAATACATGTGGACACTACATTAATTTTTCAGAAATCAATGTTTCCCTTTGGCATTTAGATGGAACATAAACTTGTTAATAGATGTTTCTGGACTGTCAACCCTCCATGTCACTAATTTTTAATGCCCTTTATTGCTATTTTGAAAAAGTGGTAGCAAGACAGTGCCTACTAGCCTGTAAAAAAACCCTGACTTTGGGGTCTTTAGTCTTGTTGAAACTCTTCCACCTTTGAACCAGCCCGCTTCTTTGGGCTGTTTTTATTTTGCATTTCCCATACATACTACTTGTTCTCTACTACTTGTTCTCGTATGCCTCCAAATCATTTTTGGCTTACGGCAAAACTATCACAGGGTTTTCTTGGCAAGTTTCTTGAGAGAGATTTTTTGCCATTGCCATTCCCTCCCCATGGATTGAGGCAGCAAACAACAACAATATACAACATATGAGGGTGGGGGGTATTGTAAAATTATAATAATCACATGTAAGTTATTATGGTATATTGATAAAATTTTGTCAGCGTCATCATTGGTCCCTAAGTGCATGATGTTGAGAAAAGCAGCACATTGTGTCCTTTATATTTGTTACAGGTTGTGCCAGAAGTGACTAAAGATGGAGAAGTACGAGGGAGTATCATAAAGAAATAATTATCATCCGGAAGTTATTATGGTATATTGATGAAATTTCATCAGTGTCATCATCACCAAGTGACCTTTTCTTTTGCCAAAAATGAAAAATCCATTGCAGGGTCACCAATTTGACAACACAGTTAATGCCATTCATGAAGTGGAAGAAGAGTGGTTTAAGGCGCAATCTGCAAACTTCTACAATAACTTTATTCGGAGGGTTAAGAAACACTGGGAAAATGTGTAAATCTGGATGGTGACGACGTAGAAATAAGTTAGTAACTACAAATCAAAACAAACTTTCAGTCGAATTTTATTAAAGGTGATAATTAAAACTTTACGATACCCCCATACATCAGTTAAAAACACACTGTTGTTGTTGTTGTTGTTGTTGTTGTGTGCCTTCAAGTTGTTGCCAACTTATATGACAACCCTGAGCCAGAGTGCCATAGTGGTCTGAGAGTTGGATTACAACTCTGGAGATCAGGGTTCAGATCCCAGCTTGGACATGTAACCCCATCTTGGGCAAGTCACACTCTCTCAGCCTCTGAGGATGGCAATGCCAAAACACCCTGTCAAGGAACTTGACCCAAAAACAAAACAAAACCCATGATAAGTTTGCCTTTTAAGGGTTGCCTTAAGTCAAAAATGACACACACACAAGGAAAATCTATCATGGGGCTTTCTTAGGTTTGCCATGGCCATTCTCTCAGCCTGAGAGAGTGTGACTCTGCCAGTGGGTTTTTATGCTCCAACTGGGAATCGAACCCGTGATCTCCAGAGCCCTAGTCGAACGCTCAAACCACTACGCCACGGAGACTCCATCTCAAGGGCAGTCGCCTCACGGGCTCTGCGCAGGCGCCTCTCGCTTGAACCCGACAGGGAAGAGGGCGTGGCCACGGGTTGAGCGACAGCCTCCTGCCCCGCCCCAACAACGCCTCTCTTGCGTTCCGCCGCCAGAGGCCGCTCTTCCCTCAGCCGCTCTCCGCTCCAACCGCCAGCTCACCACCTCGAAGACGACGTCTCGCTCTTTCGCCCCCGGGGCAGGTTTGATGGGGATGCTGCGAAGAGAGCCCGCGGAGCCATGGACCTGGACGAGGCCTTCGGGTTGGTGGGGGAGTTCGGCCCCAGACAGAAGAGGCTCACCGCGTTCCTGGTGCTGCTACAGGTGGGAGGACCCCCCCCCGCTCCCTTCGTCGAATAGTTTTGCCCTTTGCCTTCTTCTCCCCCCCCCCTTCTCTGTTTCTTTTTTGCCGCTTCGGGGGGAGGAGCCAAAAGGCGTGCGTAGAAGTGGGAGGGGGGCGAGAGGAGCGCAGCTGCCGTTGTCTAGGCAACAGCGTGGAACAAACCATATTGGGGCGAAGGGGGGGGGAATCTTACCCTTTCCAGCGCCATAGGCAGCCAACCTCGCCTGTTTCCCCCCTCCCAGATAGTATTGGGCTCCCAGAGCCTTGGCCACGCTGGCTGGGGACGATGGGATTTGTAGTCCAACAAAAATGGAAGGGTGGGTTTGGGGAGAAGCCCTCTGTTTTTCCTGCTTAAGGTTGCCACTGCCTTTCCTTCGAGGAAGGGGAGAGAAGCCGCCTCTTTCGCTGCATCCGCACTGCAGGAATAACGGAGTTTGACACCGCTTTAGCTGCCATGGCTCAGTGCTGTGGAATCCTGGGATCTGTAGTTCGTTGTGGCACCAGAGCTCTTTCTGACAGAGAAGGCTAAATGTCTCACAGAACTACAGTCCCCAGAATTCCACAGCATTGAGCCATGGCAGTTAAAGCGGGATCAAACTGGATTATTTCTGCAGTGCAGATGCAGCGCCAGGGTTTAGGCCTGGCAGCACATGACTGTAGTCTGGGTGGAAACAGGAGAGGGGTCCGTGTTCACTTCATGGTTGTGTGCGTGTTGTTTCCGACTTAAGGC